GGGGTGGAGGAGAGCGGGGGGGGGGGAGGCAGTAGGAGGAGAGAGAGAGAGAGAGAGACTGAAAATCCCGTCTTATGATGGGCTAATTGGATACTTTCACTAAGAAATAAGCAAATCTTCCTTGCTTCATCAGAGCTGCTCTCTGTGCATTGCTGTATCCAGACAGCTGAGATGGGGGGTTAGGTTGCAATTCCAGCACATGTCACTGTCCTAAAAGTGATATGTAGCAAGCTAATTCCTTTTCCCTGGGCTTCCCCAACCTCTCCCCTCCCTTCCCCCCTCTCCCCCATGGCTCTCCCTGCCTATTTATGGCTTTCCAAAGATCAGTAGCGCTATAAGTGTCTGTTTATTGCTGGTTTGTTTGCAGCTCTAAACAGCCCTCCCCGGCAGCTGTGATGTCTTGGGGCCCTGCCCACTGTAACAGGAAGTGTATTTTATTTTAGCTACAAACAATGGTCATTTTCCCCACTTGCTGTCCCCCTGCTTGGCCTTCACCTGGGATCAGAAGGAAATGCATGTAAACGTCCAGCTAGAGGAAGGAAGGGACAGGACGTCAGGGCATCAAAAGTTTGGGGACTCTGGTGCTGCAGGCCTGGCAGTGGGGGTCCAAGCGCAGAGAAGATGCAGGAGGCTCCAGCAACACTTTCTTATTATAGCTCAGTGCATTAACTCAGTGCCCCTTCAACTCCCCCATCTCGCTCTCCTCCCTCTCCCCCTCGAGCCTTCTCAGCACCAGCTTGGGCCTGTCCTTGTAAGTGTCTGGGGCCTTATTGCGCACTGTAGTGGTTTTGCCTCAAATTTGGCCACTGCCCCTTCCATGTGACACAAACCTGCCCGCAGCCCAGCTGGCTGGGCCCTGCTCTTTGCAGGTTGGGTGGGAGTCTGCTTAGCGGCAGCACCTTGCTCCTGTGACAACCTGTGGGGCGAACTAGCTGCTACTGAGCAATGCCTTTATGGCACGGCAGTGGGTCCACCAGAGGAAAGAGCAGGGCTCCAAAACCAGAGCTGTCCCCAGGGAAGACAAGCAGAAGAGGGCACCAGCAGGGAGGCCAGTGCATCTGGGGAATTGGAGCATTCAAGAAAGCGAGGTGCTGCTAGAGCCGGGCCTGGTGTGGGCAGAGCACTGCTCCCCCACCTCACTGCCCCTGCCGGTGCACCACAGCCCTGCCCTGCCCTCCAGCTCAGCACAGTCACCGCCACTCCCCAGCTATTGCAGTCCGAGCCAGCACCAAACCAGCTCTTTCTACACTCCCCAAAATCCCTCCCTCCCCCTTCCGAGCCCCAAAAGCAATGGCTGGAAACCAGCTCTCTTGGGGAAGGTCCAGGCGCCCTGGGAGGAACCAGGCTGGCCATGCACTGCAAAGGCCTCTGTCACTATTCCATCCTAGACCCATCTGCTCCCAGGGGCCCCTCAGCCCAGCAGGGCTCAGGGTAGTAATGTCTGGGGTTAAACATGAGCAGTTGCAAGCCAGTGGAGTCACTGAAAAAACAAACAGGTGAGAGCCATTGGTTAAAGCCAGATAAGGGGAGAGGCCCCCTATAGCTGCCTCATCAGCTAGGCTACTGCTCAGTAGTGAGGGTGTGGGGTCTCCTGTTGGCTACAGTCACCTGCTCAGGCCCTCTGGCCAGCTTTGATGTGGAGTTGAGTTTCTCCTCTGGGGATCAGGAAGGCCCTTTGATGTGTGGGTTGTTTCTGTTCCAGGCTCTGTGGTTTCACGGCTGTGGCTGATTGAGCCCCGGAGCCCAGAATTGTTTATTGACACACATACTTTCAAGGAAAAACACAAGATGCCCAGCAACACAGAACTTTAACTCCCCTCCCACCCCCCTGCAAAAAAAAAAAAAACCCAACAGCTGGCCATTTGTAAAGCCTGATACAGCCCCTTTCTCTGTGCTCTGTTCCAGGGGGAGCCTTCAAGTTCTTGGGCAATGAGAAATCTCAGAGAGTTTGCTTAAGCTACTGCCTTAATATCCAAGAGCGAGTGCAATCGGTACTGAGGGCACCAACTTCCAGGGGACATTGCCCTGCTTGCCACTTGCTCTTGGTTGTTCAGCTTTTTTCATTTGCTGTGCTGCTTGATGGGTGAAGAGGATGACAGTTCTTGCCCTGCTGGCAAAACAGTTAAGAGCACGTCTGATTGTAATTGACCAATCAGAGAGATTCCTTGATCCATCACTGGTCCTCTGGGTGACCATAAGCAGCTCAGGATTGCTGTATGCCTCGGTTTCCCCATCTGCGAAATAGGTGTAAAATACTTTGACAGGGCTGTAAGAGGGTTAATTAATGTGTGTATAGAGCTTTGACTCTTGCATGGTGCAAGAGAAGGGAAAACTCATCTACTTTTTGTGGAATACATTAGACCTCTGCTAACAGCTGGTATTTATCTGGAAGCAGTTTCCATCTTGCCTTTCCGTCTAGTTACTTGGGCTTCAACGCTGGGAGGCAGGACTCTCAACTGTGCTGATGCAAAGTCCATTTCTGCTAATCTGGGCATCCTCTCTTTTTCCCCTCTCCTCCCTCCAGGGCTCAGAGATTCATGGCTGGAGAGCACTGGCCTGTGGCTGTACAGAGCACCTGTACAGCACTGAGTGGCACACAGCAGGGCCTACTAGGATTTATGATCAGATGCAAACTGCTGCCTACCTGTGAGAGCAGAAGGGAACCCTTTGGAGGGAATAGGGTTTGCAGGGGGAAGTGAATGGCTGCCTGCGTTTCTTTTGCAGGATCAGTGTTGGTGCCTTCCAGCAACGGGGAAGGGAAAGGGTTTGAGTGTTTCTCCCAAGTCGGGGTGGGCAAGAGGCTGCCAGCGGGCTGAATCCGGCCCACCAAGCCACCAGATCCAGCCCGTGTCTGCCTTGCCAGAATCATTAGGCAGAGAACAGCTCACGTTTTAAAAAGCCAGCTGCTCTCCGTTCCAGATTGCTTGGGAGGGAGGACGGAGACTTCTCATGCTGTTCCCACCTTCCAGCAAAAACACTGAGCTCCTATTAGCCGTTCTCTCCGTTTCCAGCCAATAGGAGCTGAGAATTTTTTCTGGGAGCAATGGCAGTGTAGGAAGCCTTCTTCCTTCCTCCTCAGCCCCCTCCTTCTCCTCAGGCCTGGCGTGGAGTCTTAGGGCATATCTAGACTACACTAGACTTTCGAAAGAAGATATGCAAATTCCCATGGAATTTGCATATCCTCTTTCGAAAGTCTAGTGTAGTCTAGATATGCCCTAAGACTCCACGCCAGGCCTGAGGAGAAGGAGGGGGCTGAGGAGGAAGGAAGAAGGCTTCCTACACTGCCATTGCTCCCAGAAAAAATTCTCAGCTCCTATTGGCTGGAAACGGAGAGAACGGCTAATAGGAGCTCAGTGTTTTTGCTGGAAGGTGGGAACAGCATGAGAAGTCTCCGTCCTCCCTCCCAAGCAATCTGGAACGGAGAGCAGCTGGCTTTTTAAAACGTGAGCTGTTCTCTGCCTAATGATTCTGGCAAGGCAGACACGGGCTGGATCTGGTGGCTTGGTGGGCCGGATTCAGCCCGCTGGCAGCCTCTTGCCCACCCCGACTTGGGAGAAACACTCAAACCCTTTCCCTTCCCCGTTGCTGGAAGGCACCAACACTGATCCTGCAAAAGAAACGCAGACGTGCTTTTCCGAAAATGCTTTTAACGGAAAAGTTTTCCATTAAAAGCATTTTTGGAAATTCATGCCAGTGTAGACGTAGCCATATGGAGCAGCCTGCAGCAGGCAGGTTTCTGCTGGTAAGTACCTCCCAGCCAGAGCCACTAGGATTGCCAGGTGTCCGGTTTTGAAGCAGACAGTCCAGTATTTGAGCTTTCTGTTCGGGAAACAAATTGAGAAAATATAAATGAGAAAATAGAAACATCTGGTATTTTCTAACTAAGATGTAATGTAGATTGTGATGTAATATCAAGTGTGTCCAGTATTTTTGTTGAAACCATCTGGCAACCCTCTGCTCCCCCTCCACATACCCAAACCCTCTGCCCCCCGGCCATACTCCCTCCCAGATCTGGCACCCAGTCTCCTTCCCCAAATCACAATCCCCTCCTACCCTAGGTCACATCCCAAAATCCTGCATCCCGATACCCTGCCCTAAGTCACAACTGCCTCCTTCACCCAAACTCCCTCCCAGACTCCATTCTCCCTCCTGCACCCAAATCTCTTACCCCAAGTTCCCTTCTGCACCCAACCTCCATCCCAGACCCCAGAATTCCTCCAATAATATCCTGAAAGAGTGCAGCTCTCGACCACTTTCCAAAATCTTGGCGTGCCCCCTCCCCCCCCATCAAAAATTATTGCCCACCCCTGTATCAAGTGCTGGCCAGCGCAATTGGTAGAAGCTTTTTGGTCTTGAGCCATTTGACACTGGATAACAGTGCAGGAGCAATCCTGCCTTGCTGGGAGGGAGAAGTCAGACCCCTCTAATGTCTCAGCTTTCCCTGCCTCAACTGGTATTTCCCTTGATGCATCTTCCCTTTGGGAGTGTGTCATTTCTCACCCATTTCCTGCCCCATATAGTTCAGGAGTAGAATTGTCCTGGCAAAAGGTGCTACCACAACATTTCCCTGCTACCAGGTATCACCCCACTGTAAATGGCAAGGTGGGCTGAAGATGGGTTTCCCTACTATCGATGGAACTTAGTTACCTGCCTTGCACCCCAAACTCTAGCAAAAGCTGCCTGCAAAATATGGTTGGGGAAGAGGGGGGAAGGAAAGCCTCCTGAGACGCCAAGCCTCAGACAATCTCCTCTCATTTCCTGCAGCCACCACATTAACCTTATCTGGGCTGGGAGCCTAACAAGGTTGGAAATTAATTCTTTCCCCTCTGCTCCCCCCGCCTGGGTCAGGCTCGGCTCAGTGACTCACGTGCCCCCAGCTTGGATCACAGGCCTCTTTGATTGGGTTTTTCCCCTTCGGTTTGTATTTTGGTGTGTGTTTAACAAGGGAGACGGGAGGGGACAGCCCAGCAGAGGGGAAAACAAAGGAGCCCTCAGTGCCTGTCTGCATCCTGGCTTCATGCACCCCAACTCCAGAGCCTGCTGTCAAACGGCACTGGATGAGCTCACCGGTTTGCAATGCCGTGTTACAAGCCTTTCCTTATCAGGGCTCTTGCCTCTTCTGAGGAAGCTGCTTGTAGTTTGTGTCCACGCTGGGGTCTCCTGACCCCGCCCCGTCACCCCTCGCACCGCATCGCGCCCGCCTTGGGACTATTCATAGATCCGCCACTTGCCCCTTCGCCCTCAGCCAGTCTGGAGAGACCCTCAGGCAGGAGCTAAGGGCTGTGACTCAGGCTGGCAAGAGGACAGGGCTGAGCCTGCACCACAGACTGAGACCCAGCACCTGGTATGAGTGGGCAGTGGGCGTGGGGAGATGCAAAAGTCCCATTGGAGTGGCCTCTCTGCATGGGAGGAGGGTGTTCGCTAATGCCCTTGGGCATTGGTTTTCTCGTCAGCGCCAAGGCTGGCTTTAGAAGTACAGCTCTTGTGCAGTGGGAGAGCCCAGAAGAGCTGGTGTGTCTAGGCTACGTTGTTCCCCTCCCCCATGCCCAGTTCCCTAAGCCTGGTTGTCCCCTGGCCGGTGGTGGAACGGGTCTGTTCAGATGAACAGTGAATTTCGTGTGTTGGGGTGATTTTAACGTAGCTCATCAGAGTCACTGCAGCTGAGTGACGTACTAACAGCTAAAGTGGGCTGAGGGCCGAGGTATTGGGCAGCTGTGAGTGTCCCTCTCTTCCTGCTAATCCCCCTCCCCACCCCCGGAGCGAGTGAAAGGTCAATGCCTCAGGGGAGGGTGGGGGGAGACTGGAAGTGGAAGGAAGAAGACAACACCTGGGGCTGCCAGGCAGGCGGGCTCTTGACAGCAAACTTCCCATCCCTATGGTGATGGAGGTGAGACATTCTCCACTGGCTGGACTGAATTTCCCCTGTTGCTCCCTCCCTGACCCAGGAGCCATGTGTAGGCTCTGGCAGCAGCTGTGCGCCAAAAGACAAGATCAATAGGCACAATGGACAGGGCGTCCCAGAGACATCATTCAGTTCTTGTGCCCTGCTCGCTTGTCCCCCCTCTTGAGCTATGGGGGAAAGCGGGTGGTTCACTCTCTCGGGCCAAGCTTGTCCCAGTGTTGGCGGCAAGGGGTCATGAGGCGAGGCTGCCACATGGGCCTCCGCATCATCCGCTGTTCCTGGAGAAGGGGGGTGAGGAAAGGTTGGGTGGGGGAGCTGAGCACTCTCCCAGCCCGTTGTACTTCCTGACTGCATCCCTCCCGGTCCCACCAAGGTCCTGTTCTTTCCAGCACAGCAGTGTTTATAGTGCACAGGAGGCCTGGTCTCCCTCAGCCAAGTACATCCACCTTCTCCCATCACAGACCACTTGAGTGGGGCCTGTTCCTAAGCCTTGCTTACACTTTTCCTGATTCCAAGCCCCTCATGGTCTGGAGCCCAGTGGTAGGGCAGAGAGTCTGCAAACCCACTGCACGTAGGCTGGCGGAGGAAGGAGCTGACAAACCCATCTCCACCAAGGTGCTACGGGGTTAATGTTTAGCTTGGCTCTGGGGAGGGAGGAGGAAACAGAAGTTTTGTGGAGATAGAAGTGCATCAGCTGCGGAGGCAGGAAGAGGCTTGTGAGGGCCGTATCCTGCCTGCATCCTGGACAGGCAGTGACCTGGGCTGGGAACCTACCCCCAGAAACCAGAGCTGTAGGGGTTTCAGGTCCAGCCAGAGAAGAGGTGCTGAGGGGAAAGTAGGGGGAACCTAGGTGTGATTGGGCCCAGCTGTACCAGATTCAGAGTGAGCATCAGCTCCAGGCCTGCAGTATCAAAACTCAAGTCAGGCCCCCCAAATACAACTTGGAAGATGCTGGGTTCTTGTCTGGCTCATAGACTCTAGCGCTTATTTTCCAGCTGGTCTCTGTAACCCTGGCCAGACATCACTCACTTTAAAAAGCAAGCCAAGATTCTGACATTGTCCTCTGGCCCCAGGAGCCGGGGCTCTGGGAACCCCCAAAGGCTGGAATACAACGGTAAGAGTTGGCAATGCTGAACCTCAGCTGCGTATTCTCTCCAGCGTGGCCAGAATTGCTGCTCCAGGGACTGATCTAGCTTTGTGCCAGCCAGGCAACAGGGGGCAGAGGCCACAGGCATGACCATGGAACTCAATGGTTTCTGCCTGCCAGGCCCTTGATCAAAGCAGCTGCATCACGGATCAAGGGCCTGGACAAACTCCTGGGCACGGACAAACTCCTGCTGAGACCGGAGCATCTTTGGCAGTAAACCTGGAGGAAGCCAGTGTCTCTTGCCTGTGTTGTCTGAGAGTGGTGGCAGGATCTGCTCCTTTACAGGGCCCTCCCTCTTGGCTGGCCCAGCACTGCCCACAGCTCAGTTCTCCATCTTCCTAGGCCAAGTGGAGACAACCTGCCGGCGAGAGGGGACTCCAGCTCATGCTCTAACAGCCGAAAGGCACCATCTACTCCTCCTGGGACATAAAGGTGTTCGGATGGTCCTTGGGGTATTCCCACAAGCATACGCAGAGCTGCCTGGAGCACCCGATCCTGCCCATCTCCCTCCAGCGATGGCAATGGCACAGGGGTGCTCTGGGGCTGGCATGTAAGTGGCCAGAGCACCGAAAGCTGCTAACCAGCTGTGTAAGGCTGCTGTAAGGGAGAGTAGCTCCGGAGGCTGGGCTGGCTCCCAGATCAGCCTGGAGCCTGAGCTGCTCACAGTGGCTTAGAGCTATCTCCTCCTGACCTTGCCTTGGCTGAACTGCTGAGAAGCCAGCCTCTTCGCCAGCCGCAAGTGCTTACACGCACGGCTCGGTAGAAATGCAGCTGGGGTGGCAGATGCCATCAGCCATAGAACAACAGTGCCCCAAGCGAACGGGGCTCCCGTCTTGAAGCTGCAGCACAGCACTTGTCCATGGAAGTTGCAGGGGGGAGGTAGGGAGCCAGACAGCTGTCTGAACTAGCCTTTGGACAGCCCCGGCCCCCAACTACTGTAAGATGCCCAGATGTCTCCAATGAACATTCATGGTCAGAACTCTTCTTTTCCCATGCCTCCTGCAGCACAGCACCCCAGCACCACTGAGCTCCGCTTGGAGCTGCTCGCTCCGCTCAGCACCTCCTTCATGCAGCGAGTGTGGGGCTGTGGCAGGTCGCACTGCCAGTCCTCCAACACCCCAGGCCAGGTGGCTCGCCAGGCTTCTGTTACAATGGCAATGAGGCCTGTGTGGTTTGGTGATTGCTGAGCAGGCATCCCAATCTGGGGGGTGGGACGCCCCCCCAGCAGGTGCCAATCACTTGCCTCCCACCCACTGCACTCTGCGGAGAACTGAGGCTCTTTGTTCTGGTGAGGTTTGTGCACACACATGCCGTGTGTCTGGACCCTCTGCTTGTCTCCCTTCGTCCGCACGTTAGAATCCCTTGGTGGGCAGCCCCAGGAACTCGCCTTCCACCACTCAGAGACCTGGAGCCAGCTGTGACCTGTGCCCTGCTCAGATTTTGCTGTCTCTAAGTGCGTGCACTTTGCAGCAGGATCTGCTGATGTTTGCACCGACGCAGGATCACTTTGGCAACTGCTGAAGCAATGGTCCCCTGAGCCTGCATTCACAAATCTCTGCCTTCCCCAGGGCACCTGATGAAATCAAAGGAGAACTTGGGTTTGGGTTTTGTTTGTTCTTGTCCTATTCCTTCTCCTGACTGCCCACAAGCAAAACAAGAACCAGGGATGCCACTCATCCCACCAGCGGCAGGTCAGCGCAGGGGGTCTCCAGTTGCTGTGCTCATGGCACACTGAATCCCTGGGGAAGGGCTGAGCTGAAGGTAGCTTGGAAAGAGAAAGGAGAGAAGGTTCCCATGGTGGGGCAGGGTCTCCGATTGGGGTGAGAGGAGGTACTGAGTGGGATGAAATCAGCAGGGAACTCTTAGGGTACGTCTACACTACAACGTTAATTCGAACTAACTTAGTTCGAATTAGTTCGAATTAGCTTAGTTCGAATTAACTAACGGATCCAGACTAAAAAACTAGTTCGAATTAGCGTTTTGCTAATTCGAACTAGCATGTCCACATTAAGTGGACACTGAACCAGGCTTAAGGATGGCCGGAAGCAGTGCCAGCAGGGCATCAGAGGAGGACTTAGAGCGTGGAGATGCTGTCTCAGGCTAGCCGAGGGCTGTGCTTAAAGGGTCCCGACCCCCACCCCGGACAGACAGTTCTCAGGGGTGCCCCGCTTGCAAAGCAGTCCTGGCTTGGATTGCCCGAAGTACCCACACTGGGCACATCACAGCATTCGGCCATCAGCCCGGCTGCACTTGCCGCAGGCTGCCCTCCGGAGAGAGGGGGCAATTGGGGGGCTGCAGGAGAGCTTCCACCCCCAGAAGCCCGCAGAGCCAGCCCAGTCCTCCCCATCAGGGGCGCATACCCCATTCCTCCCTCACCTCCTTCCACTTACCTTTCCCTAGCCCCTCTTCTTGATGTACAAAATAAAGGACAATTGTGTTCAAAAATCTGTCTTTATTGAACAAAACGGGGGGAGACTGGGAAAAGGAGGTGGGAGAGGGGAAGAGAGAGGGTGGGAGAGGGGAGGGCAACTAACATGATCAGGGGTTGGGAACAGGTCCCATATGAAGAGAGGCTAAAGAGACTGGGACTGGTCAGCTTAGAAAAGAGGAGATGGAGGAGGGACAGGATAGAGGTCTCTAAAAGCAGGAGTTGGGTGGAGAGGGTGCATTCAGAAAAGTTCTTCATTAGTTCCCATAAAGAAGGACTAGAGGACACCAAAGGAAAGGAATGGGTAGCAGGCTTCAAACTAGTAACAGAAAGTTGTTCTTCACAAAGCAAAGAGTCAGCCTGTGAAACTCCTTGCTGCAGGAGGCTGTGAAGGCTAGAACTAGAACAGAGTTTAAAGGGAAGTGAGATCAAGTCATGGAGGTTGGGTCCATGGAGTGGTATGAGCCAGGGGGTAGGAGTGGTGTCCCTGCCCAAGGTTTGTGGAAGGCCGGAGAGGGATGGCATGAGACAAATGGCTTGGTCACTGTCTTCGGTCCATCCCCTCCAGGGTCCCTAGGGTTGGCCGCTGTCGGCAGACAGGCTACTGGGCTTGATGGGCCTTTGGTCTGACCCAGGATGGCCATTGTAAGCTCAGGGCTCAGGGTCGGGGGTCTCAGTGGACCCCCTTGATTTTCATGCCCACCTGCTCCTGGGTGGCCAGGCTGGCAGCTCTCCTGCCCAAGCCGGCCACTTTCCTGTGCCTAGTGCGGAGATCATGGACGAGGTCCACGATGTCCGCACTAGCCCAGGCGGGGGCCCGTCTCTTGCGGTCCCGGGCAAGCTCCCGGGAGCCGCCAGCCTGGTCCCGGGCAGAGGGGGAGGGCTGGGGGGCATCGGGCGGGTGGCTCGATCCGTGCCAGGTGCAGGGTCTGCTGGCTGGGTGCTGGCAGGCTTGCACCTGGCACGGGCACCGGAGCCAGCCCGTGCCCCTTTAAGGGGTCCGGGGCCGGGAGGGGGGCAGTAGAATTTCCCTGGTGTTGGCCAAAGTGGCCACCAGGGAAAGCTGGGGAGGGCTAGCCTCCCACTAGTTCGAATTAAGGGGCTACACAGCCCTTAATTTGAACTAGTAAATTCGAACTAGGCTTAATCCTCATGGAATGAGGATTACCTAGTTCGAACTAAGCGCTCCGTTAGTTCGAATTAAATTCGAACTAACAGAGCGCTAGTGTAGCGCCTAGGAAAGTTAGTTCGAACTAACGTCCGTTAGTTCGACTTAACTTTGTAGTGTAGGCATACCCTTATTGACCTTCTGTGGCAGGCTTGGGAATGCAGCTTTCCACCTCAGAGCTTGCTGTAGGGACCAGGTGGTGCAAGTCCTTTCCCCTCTTCCTCATTGTTTTCCCAGGGGATCTTGGCTCTTGATGGGCTGGGTTGTTTTCCTCTTGCTGCCTGCTGTCTACCATCTCTGGGGAACTGTGGTGCAAGGAGGTCCTGTGATTTACTCTTATGTCTACACAAAATGAGTGGGTGGCTCAACTGCAGCTCCACCCACTGGGTCCTCAGCTCTGACCCTGCTTTCCTCTCCTCCCAGAGCTGCTGGCAACAGGTGACTGCTGAGACACGCCTAAGAAAAGTATCTGACTCTGGCTTCTGATGTTTCTTCCCTTGTTGTCTAAGGACAGGTTTTTCCTGTCCCTGGTGTTCGGCATCCAACTTGCCTGCTGCCCTATGCCTAAGTGCCTGCCACAACTAGCAACAGGCAGAGCTTAGTTCAGGTCTAAGCTAGTCCCCTGACGTTCCGGTTCATTTCCAAATCTCCACAAAAGCCACCTGGAGATCCTGTGTGAGGCTCACACATGAGATTTCCAGCCAGATGCTGCTTCTGTTTGGGCCAGAAGGATGGCCCAGTCCCGCAGCAGCACTGGGTCCTGCAAGAACCTGGGACAACGTGAAAATGAAAAATAATGGAGCAAAGCAGAGGGGCAAACTCTAACTCTCAGCAGCTTGGCTCAGACTGTGTGTGACATTTGGGCTCTGTCGGGATCTTCTCCACCCCAGCTCTCAGATCCCGAATGGCACAAGCCTCGCCCTGCATTCCTGTGTGGGCCAAAAGCCTGCTGAGGGCTGGGGAGGGAGAAGCCAGACAGTTGAGCTGCAGGGTTACTAGGGGCGAGGGCAGCACAGCCTAGCAGGGCAGGAGAGCGATGAAGCAGCAGGGAGCGTTTTGTAGTTCATGCTGTAATTTATAGGGCCGGTTAGGGGACTTGCGGCGCACAGAGATAGGAACTTGACTAAGGAATTGAGGAATTGAGTTAATAGCTATCTGGTGCACACCTTCTTATTGGAGTGTTGCTCACTATCTAGATTATTATACAGTAGCCTCTTCCCCACCTATACCCCCATATGCCTCGGCACTTGATCTGAGCACCTCCCAAGCCCCTCAGACCAGAAATCATGACGGCAGTGTCTCCTGCTTCCCAGCCTGGGGTGGGGACGGTGGGAGGGAGGGAAAGCTAAGCTGAAGAAATGAGTCTTGCATTCAGGGGTGCAAGTTCTTAGCTCTGTGCTCGTTCTCCTACTATGTGACCAGGAGATCCATAGTGCAAGTCCAGCTCTGGCTCCCGGGCTAATCTGAGGGTCAACAGGCTCGTTGTTGCAAAGGCCCATACAGCCACTGAAGGCTGAGGGCATGGCACAGAGGCAATCTCTCAGGTAGTTACATCAATGCCACGGAGACCTTTGGATAACAGAACACCTGGAACTTGGCTCTGCCTGCACTGTGGAGCCAGGGCTAGGGTCTGGTCATGCCAGTCTGTCTTGCTAAGCAGACAGGCTGCCATGTTTTGTAACAGTAGGAATTTCCTTCAGAGCTTGCTGCTTTGTTCCTAGGTGTGAGATGCTAAGCCTGGATGTGATAGGCCAGTGGACTCAGCAGGTGGCCAGCTGTCTTCTGCCTGTGACCCGGGGTCTGTGTGTTTGCAGAGGGAATGCTATCGCTATCGGAGAGGTGTCTGGGAAAGCCAGGAGAGCAGCCGCTCCCTGGATGGCAAAGGGTGCGCTGCACAATGTCAGGCCCACTCTTCAGCCCTTATCTCTCCCCTCCCTGCTCTGTAGCAGCAGCTTGCTTTTAGCACCTCTGCCAATACCAGATGGCCTCTTCTGCATTCCAGGCAGGGATGTGCAAAGCTGCAACTGAGGGGTCTCTCGCCAGTCAGCCCTGTTGGAGCAGAAGCCACAAAGCAAAGGGGGCTCCTATGCCAGTTTAAAATAACCCTAAGTCACTATACATATCTCTTTGGTGCAGCACCCTCTCTGCCCCAGAGGTGGGAGGTGCAGACTGCCAGGCCTGCAAGGTCCACTGGAAGCTCTGTGTTCTTCTTCCTCTGAAAGTGACTGCCAGCCCCTGGGAGCTAGCCTGCAATTAAAGATCAGACGCTTCAGAGGGATAGCCATGTTAGCCTGTAACAGGAAAACCTTAAAAAACAACAAATAGTCTAGTTGCACCTTAAAGTCTAACAAAACATGTAGATGGTATCATGAGCTTTTGTGGGCACAGGCCACTTCTTCAGATGACCAGAGTATAATAAGTTCAGATCCAATTTATTCTTGGATCTGGACTTATTTATACTCTGGTCATTTGAAGAAGTGGGTTTTGCCCACGAAAGCTCATGATACTGTCTACATATTAAAGATCAGGCCAAGGAATAGGGGGAAATAATGTCCTTGACATCATCCTTATTGACAGCTGGGTGTCAGATTAAGACCTGCTCAGTCCATAGGCTTAGACTGGATGCTCGTCCATCTTCCCCTCTGCTCTTTGCCTGCCTGCACAGAGGGTTTCTGGGCGGAGTGCATTCAGTTTACCTGCTACTATTTATCTGATGTCCCCTTTGACCCTAAACTTCAGCAGCCTGAAAAATGGACTCTGGCTCCAAACCAGTATGTAAATGACACCCATGAGAGGGATGTTTTAGAGGTCAACCAAAAGCAGTGAGCTGGGTGCCCTGCCTCCAGGCACCGATCAGGTGGCCTCACAATGTGGGTCGCTTCCTGCGGGACCAGATGGACGTGAAGTTCTTGTTTCTCCATCTCCCACGTGGACTCTACGATCTCTCTCTCCAAACACGCAGCAGGTGTGGTGGTGTGGTTTGTGTTGCCATAGCACCTAGGAGCCCCAGTCATGGACCAGGTGCCATTGTGCTAGGCGGTGTACATACACAGGACACACAGTCCCCGCCTCAAGCTGGTTTTCCTCATTCCCCACCAGTCTCTGTAGTAGCCCCAACTCCTCAGCAGTTTTGATCCTGTTCACTTCTCCCCCAGCTGGCTCCCTGACTCCTAGTCTCTCTGCTGCTTTCCCCAGTGCTGGACCAGCTCCTCCCAGAGCTCAGTGTGCTGCTCAAGTTGCTGGATCATGAGTACCTGAGCACCACCACCCTGGAGAAGAAACTGGCCGTCTCCAGTATCCTGCAGAAGCTGCAGCCCCCAGCAGGTCAGTGAACTCTTCCTGCCCCTTTGCTACACACCCTCGCTCAGCCACTTCCCCCACTTCTCTCCAGGATTCTCCTGTGGCTTAACTGACTTTCCAAAGGAGCTTGTGCCCCTGCCGGGGGGGGGGGGGGGGGGGGGCGCGCGCGGGTCCCG